CAGTGATGGGCCGGTTAAGGCTGAACCCCTTGCCTCCTGGACCGGGTTTGACCAGTTTCCCACGTTAAACCCAGGTTTGACGAAAGTTAAGGAGTTAATGCGTGACCCGCACATGACTTGTACCTGCCATATGAGGCCGTAATGATATCATAGATAGTCACGTGCATTGCGCGCCCGGAAGCTGAGACCGGGCAAGCGCGTCTCGTTGAAGTTGAATGTTACGTTGATTACGGCGCGTTACCTTCCCCTGCGAAACCCATCTCGTTATCCATCATCAGTGATCTATGCCGACGGTCTCTCAGTGGTGGGAATACTTCCGGAAGGGCACGCAGCACTACAAGAATGACACCGTCCACTGGGATGCATGGTGCAATTCGTGCCTCAAGCACCGTACAAATGAAATTGTACAGTTTCAGAGGGTGACTAGTCAAAGCTCGGGATCTGCGGGAGTAGTGATGAGCTATGAAGATGCCGAGGCATGCGGTATGTCTCTGTAATCTCTTTAAAACAAACTCTGCTGATACTCTATCATATATGGACAGTCATGGCCGACAAGACAGCTTCATTTTATATGCCAGGCAAGATAGATAGAATGGTCCGACACCTCTCCTCGTGTCCCAATGTCCCCGACTCTGTCAGGCAAGCAGCGGCTCTCGAAAGGTTCCAGTCCAAGTCTCGAGGGAAGGAGAACCGGCCGCCCAGTCTCTCCGCCTCCCGCTCGACAGTCTTTCCGACAGGGACAGCACTTCCAAGCTCCAATAATCCCACCATGACTCAGTCGTCTCATCTCCCATTCCCCGACTCAAACCCGGGGGCGATTCCGGTCCCGTTAAGTGCACAGTCAAGCATGAGTACGCTACCTGATCTCGGGGATGCACTAACTTTTCCTTCGGCATCTCAATGGGATATGCGTGACGGAATGCAGGTACCACCTACTAGTACCTCGGCGACTGTTGGTTATCTCGAGACTGCGCCGGCCATGCGTTGGCCGGGACCAATGCAAGAGGAGTTCGCCGAGGACTTATGCCGTCTGATGGTGGCCTGCAATGTGTCGTGGTGGGCCGTGGACCATCCATACTGGACTCATTTCTGGACAAAGTATCTTCCCGCAGCACAGATGCCTGGCCGGAAGCAATTGTCAGGTTCAGTTCTCTCCGGTCTTGCAGGCAAGATTGTCGATAAGATCCGAAAGGCCGTGACTGGACGCTTCGCCACAGGACAGTCCGACTCCTGGAAAAACATAGCTAGGAGGTCGGTAGTGTTGTCAATGATAAATGTCGAGTTTATTGTGAGTTCCTTATCTTTCGATGTCGGAGAGAAAATGTAGCTGACTGTCACAAGCCATATCTCCTCCACACCTACGATATTTCTGCTGTAGTAAAGAATGCCGAGAATCTACTCGGAATCGTGGTTACGGAAATAGCATACTGTTCAGAGGTTCTCGGTGTCGATATCGTAGCTTGGTGCACTGACTGCGGCGGTGAGGCTCTCAAAATGCGGCGCCTCCTTCGAGAACGGTTCCCGTGGATAGTCACCGTGGAATGTTGGGCGCATCAGGTACGAGCCGGATCACGTTCTCATCAAGTTTCCATTCACAATTTCCGTGTCAGATTAATTTGATTGTTGGCGACTATTTCAAACTGAACGTGCCGTACGTCAAAGTCATGGACAAGGCGATCGAAGTTGTCAAATGGTTCAATAACCACAGTCGTGCGCTCGGATTACTCAAGGAGGAACAGGCTCGGTCTCTGATGGGGAAGGTCCTAAGCCTTATCTTACCTGTCATCACCCGATGGACTTCACACTACCTGTCCTGTTCCCGCCTTCTTGAACTTGAGAAGCCAATGCGACGCCTAGTGGTGGACTCTTTTGAGGTCTTACGACTCTGTGCCGGGAACAAGCCTGACCTCGTTCGGAAAGCCGAGGAAGTTCTCAGTACGATTGCATCACCCTCTTTTTGGCAGGATCTCCGAGTGTAAGCTTGAACTTCTCATCTGTCTGCAAAACAGGTGCTTACCGAGAATGATATCTAGTGTCCAGCGCCATCTCGAGCCCTTCGCTATCGCGGCTAACGTGACGCAGGCGAACAACGCCCGCCTCGATGTTGTCCTTATGACGCTCGCAAATCTATACCGTGTGTTTTCAGACCCTGTGCTGGACCATGCGGTGCGCGAGAAGGTCTTGGAAAGCCTCGAGAAGCGCTGGGCAAAGACGGAACGGGAAGTTTTCCTGCTCGCCCTTGTCCTGAACCCGTATGTGCGGACCCGTTGCTTCAATCGACGTAACCCCCTCGTCACCCCCGGATCACTTTGGCAAATGGTGCAAAGGCAATTTCATCGTATGTTTGGCGAGGATCCAGATGCCGAATTCGAAATTACATTCACTGAATACATCAAGAACATCGGGGAATTCTCAGATGCAGCAATGGATCTCGATGGAAAGAAGAAACGTGCTGCAAAAATGGTATGCCTATCTTTTTCTGTTTACTAGCCAAAACCTGATCATGCTTGCAGAAATCGGATGTCAATTTGGTCGCACTCTGGCGGCAATTTGACACAGACGTGAAGAACGGCCGCAACGGCCTCGTCAAGCTGGCCATGCGGATACTCAGTATCGTACCGAATTCTGCAGCCACTGAACGCTCTTTCAGTGACTTCGGCGCAGTGCAAACGAAACAACGAAATCGCCTGGGTATCGAAAAGGCGCGCCAGTCCGTATTAGTGAAAGTGGACACTGCTGCGACATACGGGACCGTCAAGCGCGCGAAACGCAAGTTCGGCGAGATGGCCAGTGACTCGGATGGCGTTCCCACCAGCGACACAAGTTCCAGCTCAAATCCCGTGTCCTCCGACTCGACGCCAGCCGCAAACACCTCCGATGAGACAGCAGACATTGACCCCGCGGATTTCATTCAAGAGGAACTGCAGTCTTTCGCCGAGCTCGTCGACGAGCTTGTACAAGGCGCCGTCAGCAATGATTTCAATCTACCGGAAGCCACTCCTCCGCGCACTGCCGCCCCGGCTGCAGAGCCTGCTAGTATCCCTCGAAATGAGGTGTGGCTCTTGCGGAATCTTTTTCTCTACTCCTCTGGTACGGAAACCTTTCAAACCCTGACTGAACTCTGGTCCCGAGGACAAGACAACTTAGATCTTGAATTGCAATACCAGGAGGTAATGAATGCATAAGTTTTCCTGCTATTGATCTATTAGACAGCATAGTATAATCCTCATTATCTTCATTATAGTACATAGTTCCTATCTTCATGTATAATATCTTAGTTCTCGTTTACTTCGTGTCCGTGAAGTCGCAATGCGTTCACGTGACTTTCACGCATTAACCTTGACCGCCGTTAAGGTTAAAACAGTCAAACCGCGGTCAAATCAGTTTAACCCGGTTTGACCACGGTTAAGCCCATCACTGAAGGTGTATACGTTTACAGTCACCTGACCTTCCCAAAGAACGAGGCTTATAATGGGGAGGCGCAATTCCGGGTCGCGCGGCGAGTTGTTTGCATCTGTTTGGACTCTGCAAGAAAGTGGTCGCAAATCCCCCGCCTTCATAGAGCCTTCCGCATGTCGAAATCACGCATATAAAATGTACCAGCAGGGATGTCATGATACAGAAGATGCAACGTTGGTTTTGAATTTCTGATTTTCCCAATATCAAGTTCATTCGATAGAGGTAACGAGACCGCAAGTACATTTAACAAAAATGTACAACCAACGTTGCATCCGCTCGTTGATATAGATCAACTTTTATGAATCAAGTGACGCGTGAATGTGAACGTAGCACGCTGTAGGTTTTCTGGCAGTAAAGAGCAATTAACGACGCGTCCGAACGCGTCGCGGACGTGACAAGCTGTGACACCATCGCAAAAAAGTGTCACACCAACA